ATGCAAACCACAGAATTTGGTTGATAATAACGTTATCAATATAGGTTCATCAACTGTAACAAAGGTACCACGCTGGTCGTGGATGACAATGAGGAGGCTGTGCATGTGTAGGGAGCAGGGGGTATAAGGAAAATCTCTATACCTTCCTCTCAATTTTGCTGTGAACCTAAAATTGCTCTAAAAATTTTGTCTTTAAAAAAGTACATAAGCACAGAAAATAAATGTGCAAATTTGTTCAGAGCTGATGATGGTCTCAAAGGCTCAAGAAGTCTAAACATTCAGGGCAAAAGGAAAGAAGAAGAATAAGTGACAGAGTGAACAGCGGCAGGTACAAGGTGACTTGCTCAGAGAGCTGGGACAGTATCAAGGGCAGGAAGAGACGCTTGAAGGTCACGGAGGCAACTGTGTGGGAAGCCACTGTGGCCACAGGGTTGCTGGAAAGGAAGGGGCTGTGTGTATCCAGGCAAGGGAGTGGTTAAGTCCAACAGAAGGACTGCGAAGAGGCAAAGTGGGGAACAGTGAACATGAGGGTGCGTGTGAGTATGTGCACGCACACTGCTACCGTGGAATATCATAGAGCAGGTAAAACACATCAGGGTGGTCACAGTCAAAAAGGACTTTAACTTTATCTATACTACTGGACTTTTTTTTTCAAGAAAACATTCTTTTATAACATATATAATTAACCTATAAACACTTTTTTTAAAAAAGAACTCAAAGTCAGAAGGAAAGTAAGCAAGCACATAAACACAAGGTGTTGAGTAGGCTCAATCACAAGAGCATTGGAAAGAACCTAGAGATGTGCTCAGCTGTGTACGAGCTGTGTGACTCTGGAGGAGTAATTTACCTCTCTAACATAAAATTCCTTATCTGTTCATTGGGGATAACACACATGCATTTGCAAAGCTAAATCAAAACTGAAAATAAAGTATGCCTTAAGCCCAGTGCACTTGGTAGAGTCCCCCATACATGGTAGCCAAGCACACAAGAAAGAGTGGTACAGAACAGACTCTGGGTAATAGCAGAGAATGCCTGAGCTTCTGGGTGTAAGAAACACACAGATGACAGTGGCCAATATATGGACGAGCGTGGCTGGTTGGAAAGAACAAAGGATCGCAGCATC